GTCAGGTATATTATTTACACTTATCTGCTATCGGCACCCTTTCCAAGACCAGTCAGTGTTGGCCATCTCCAATGCTAAGTAATGATGATGATAATGCATCGACACTCATATATGCCGTCAAGTACAGGTACCATATAGATGCCAAAGCATCAGAACGGCACCCTCGGCCACTCACTGACCTCTGTCGATGGATGCTATCACGGGATCCTACCAGGAGGCCTACGGCTAAGCAGGTATCAAGCCGTTTCATTAGACACTGAGTCTTCCTCCGAATCTCGCCGGCCTGAGGGAAGGAAGATCTTCTCGTCGTCGTCGTGATGTACTCGTGATGTACTCACGAGTACATCACGTGGGCTCACGATGTACTCGTGTACTCGTGATCCGCCTCACAGGTCCTTGATGTTTTCACCGATTGGAGTCGTGTGGCTGTTGAAGGGATAATCACTGTTAATGGGATAGGAAGCAAGGGTAAGCAGAGAAAATATAATACTTCATTGATATTACTATGGAGGGCCCTCCCAGGAAGGGCAATAGTTCAATACCACCATATTTTCCGCAATACTTATTATCATAATTCACAGGGAAAGCGTGATCGTATACCCTTATATGAGCTAATCTACATACCTGACTCCCAGTCGGACGGAGTGATGTCCTCACCCATCACTATCGCTCTCTTTCAGTCGCCAATACATCGGATTGTCAACAGCCCCTGGGTACTCGGGAAGGTATGTTCGACTCTTCGTCCCGTTACTTTAGTCCTGTGATAGGGACGAAGCCATCGAGGCATGAGTCCTCCAAACGGCGACCGAAGTCCCTCGAGCCTCCCCACATCCATCCATCACCGACTAGCTCCTCTAGTGATGAGGGAAGGGAGATACATTCAGCGCCCGACTGGAGCACGCCGTCTGATAGTACGCACCATCTCGATCTCCTCTCCTGTGAGTGCTGTATTGTAGTAGTAGACGACGAGTTACCATCATGGCAAGCCTTTCGGACTGAGCCGTCACGTCCACAGGCAGCTACGGATAGTAGCAGTGGTGATGGTAGGGAGGGTGATCATCAACGGCTTACTCGAAGGCTCCCCCTCCTTAGATGGATGGAAGTCCTTCACGGATCCCAACCCATCACAGAGACGACTACCAACACCATCAGTGGAGGATCATTCTGCCGATGATGCCGTTATACCCTCGAGTGAGTAAGGTTTGTCCTTATTTGATCCAAACTCTTCATCATCCAGTGACTGCCGCCTCCCCTACCACGACTACTTGGACTGCGACCTTCGAAGTCTCCTCCACTACCAAAACTGTGCTCGCCCCCAAGGTTCCACTCGGACATAATGGTGAGATGATCCCCCGAGTCCTGCTGATGCGGAATCTGCCATTTTAGATGATAGCCTACCTGAGTGGACGGCCTTTGGAGGATCTATATCATCATCACCATCCCCAGCTGAGCCATCACCACCACCACCCCATGTTAGCGCCATACCGTCTCGAAGTGATGACACCAGTCAATTCACGACCGGCCATGATGTTTGGAGTAGTGGAGTCCTCCCTCACGATGCTGCCCGTGCAGGTGGGGTTCATCTTATTCCTCCTTTGAATAGTCAAAGTCATGCCAGGTCAATGGGAAGCCTTCAGCTCAGGTCAGGCTCTAAAGGGTGACGACCGGAGTAGTATGCCCTCCCCAGTGAGCAGCTCCATATTCACCGACAGTCCGTTCAACAACTCTCCTCCTCAGGATGATGCTGTTGGTGTCGAGACCATAACAACCAACGACTTGATTAATCTGAATGATAAACCTGAAGGGAACGCCTGAAGTTGGCGATAGTGATAGTCGGGGCAGCAGCTGCTTGTTCTTTTACTACTACTACCGCTACTACTACTACTACTACTACTACTACTACTACTACGATTGTATGCGTCTGGTTACATAACCCATCTCCCTCTAGCTTGTCGCTTAGATTATTACCATTGCTGCCATTTATGTATACCCGAATTTCAACACAGAGTGAACAGCTTTGCCCTTCAGTGTCGAGGTATCCTCTACTAGATCAATACTGCTGTCCACGTGGTGTAGATTTTAGTCTTTTTCTCAGCCGTTGGGTAGTTTTTTTCTCACATCTGCAACCCTCGGCGACATCTCGAGGGAGCATCAGCATTAAAACTCTGACGACCGTCTTCAACAATAATGGGCAACGCAATATGTTCGGGTCCCCCACCAAGAAGTGACTACCAATATCAACCTACCAACTCCCTGGATACACAACTGGCCAAGCTTAGGAGAGTCGAACTGGTGAGGAGGATCAGTGGTGTAACGTCTAGTGGATCAAGTTCGACTCTGATGGGCCCCGCTACTTCTACTGAGACCAGTTGTGGAGTCTCTAA